CCACCTTGATGGGATTGAATTGGAATCCCCTGGTATGTTTCTAACTCTACCATTTGAGGTAAGTCAGCTTGAGCATGTCCCGAATTGCACATCTCTTCCCTCTCTTATTCCCACTCTTATATTTAACAGCGATCACTTTTCAGTTAAGTTTTAGCACTTAAGAAGAATTGTGTATTGATTACAGCAACAAAATAAAGCAAATTACAATGTTGGAGTAACAGCTTTGGGTTTAATTTTAAATGTTTTTCTCAAAGATGATAGCTTATGAACTTGGTGAAAATTATTAACTTGGTGAAAACTAATCATGTTTAATTTCATGGCAGCTGACAATAAGTAAAAGTAAAAATAGTGAATACCTACTGTTGCCAGGTAACTGCATCCACTGTGCTTCCTGCCACCTTCATGAATCTGTGAGGAACAGAAAGGAAAAAATATTGCAACTTAAAATAAGCTATCTCCCCAAGGTCAAAATAAGCCCCAAACCCCCCAAACACCATAGTTTGGGCTGACCCCTGAGCAGCTGTGATTTCTGAGAGGATATACAACCTACTCATGGCCTATCCATAGTTGTTAAAGGTCAAACTAAAGAAGGAAAAATAAGCGTATTTTCAGCTCTTCACCATCTGGAAATCAGCACCCCCAGTACAGCCTTCATGTAAGTCTATCTTCCAAAGCCCATGTATGATGGCTCCCTCATCAATTTTCTGACGTTTAAACTTCTCTGTTCCATTTCCTATTCTCTAAGCTGTCTAATCTCTGCTAGGAAACAAACAACAACATTTCCCAAGGATAACAGGATAGTAGATACCTCTGAAAAACCGCAGGCCTGTCTTAGACAGAATGTGGGAAACCCAATTTATTTATACAGGAAAAAAGTGCTATCAAATATATCCCAATGAAAGGCTGTCATACCTGCATGAGTATAGAGATCTGAGCACCACCAAAGAGAAACCCAGCTACTTCAGGAGCAGCTACTAGAGAACGGAGTCTCATGTGACAACCATGCTCAACACAAGAGAAACAGGCTTGGTTCCATGAAGTTAAGCACAGAGCAAAGCTTTACTAGCAATTCTTAACTCTCTTGTGTTCCTGGAGGTGGCAGGAGAAACAAACAGCCAGGAGGAAGCATCCAGGATTCACAGGTGGCTCAGGGTATCATAAACCCCATGTCTGTTAATAATTCCATGATTCACCCACCTCCTTTTCCCTATCCACACATGCTGTCATGCAGGAAATCAAAGGAAACACCTCGGTTCTTTAAGATATTCCTTTCATCCCTGAGACTAGAGAGGAACTTTTCTCTACAAGGAAACCATCTGTAATTGTACTTTATAACCGAATAACTATTTTACCAGGGAGAGACTGTGCTTTTCTGAAAGGCCCTTTGCATGGGCCAAAGAGCTGTGGTGTTCCACTGAGGCTCTGCTTTGGTGTGATATCAGAAGAGGACTGACTCCCTCTGTAGAGTGGAGGAGAGGAAGCACAGAGCTGGACTGTGATGAAGTTGATAAGAGAAGCAGGAACTGAGAAAGAGAGGGAAGGGGGAGGGAAAAGACAAGCAGGAGGAGGAGGCCTGCAGGGGACTTGGCTAAGCTCCTGTCTGGTTTTGCCTTTTGTGCTCCAGCAGCAATCAGCAGTGTAGAAGTAAGAATGTAAAAAAGGGACCTATTGAGCAGAATAGGCCTTTGTTTGTTTGTTTGTTTTGTTTTTTGTTTGTTTGACAGGCAGAGTGGACAGTGAGAGAGAGAGACAGAGAGAAAGGTCTTCCTTTGCTGTTGGTTCACCCTCCAATGGCCGCCACGGCCGGCGCGCTGCGGCTGGTGCACCGCGCTGATCCAATGGCAGGAGCCAGGTACTTATCCTGGTCTCCCATGGGGTGCAGGGCCCAAGCACTTGGGCCATCCTCCACTGCCTTCCTGGGCCACAGCAGAGAGCTGGCCTGGAAGAGGGGCAACTGGGACAGAATCCGGCACCCCGACCGGGACTAGAACCCGGTGTGCCGGCGCCACAAGGAGGAGGATTAGCCTACTGAGCCACAGCGCCAGCCCGAATAGGTGGTTTTTTTATAAAATTATATCTTAGAATTTTTTGCTTGAAAAAAGAATTTAGTATATGAAAACCTCAAACTTTTTTTTTACTTTTTTTTAATCTGAGAGATTGACTTTATTTTTTTTTACTTTTTTTAAAATTTTTTTATTTAATGAGCATAAATTTCCAAAGTACAGCTTATGGATTACAATAGCTTCCTCCCCCACGCCCCCCACAACGCTCCCCTCTCCCACTCCCTCTCCACTTCCCCTTCACATCAAGATTAATTTTCAATTATCTTTATATACAGAAGATCAATTTAGCGTATATTAAGTAAAGATTTACTTTTAGTGGTGCTATGTGATTTTCCTTGTCTATCTGGAAAAAAAAATAATAAAATCCTTACCTAACATTTTATTTTGTTTAAGTAACCAAAATAATAAAATGTAGTTTAGCTTAGCTTTATCATTATATTTTTAAAAGTAGCACAAAGCATTTAATATTTTAAAAAATATGATGTTATCTTTTCAACCTGAGTAATAAATTGAGCAGTAGAAAAGTCGCTTTGGCTAACTTTGAGGAAACACCATATTAAACATGGATTCATGTGAAAATTGCTATGAACTACATTCTTCCTTCTTCCTTCTTAGCAAAATTATGAGACCAGCTTCAAGCATATGGAAGCATTTCTACATTTATTCCTAAGAGGAACGACTGAATTTGTAAATAATGTCAAACAAAGCATGCATTTCCAAAAACTACCAAGATGACCAAATATACTCTTGTTTTTAAAGAAGTTTAAAAACTTCAGTTTTCCAATGTCTTTGAATAACAGTTTCTAAAAACTAGAAAAAGAAAAACCAATCACATATATTACAGTCAATGAGTTTAGGGTATTCTGCACCCCCATAATTCCTCCCTGAAAATAGGGCTTTCTTCTTTATATTTATATCATTCCCATATTGTTTTTTGTTTTTGCTTTTTTTAAGATTATTTATTTATTTATGCGTCAGGCAGAGTTACAGACAGAGAGAGAGTAAGACAGAGAGAAAGGTCTTCCATCCGATGGCGCACCCTCCCCCCAAAATGACCACCATGGCCGGAGCTACGCCGATCCAAAGCCAGGAGCTAGATGCCTCTTCCTGGTCTCCCATGCAGGTGCAGGGCCCAAGCACTTGTGCCATCCTCCACTGCTTTCCCCAGCCACAGCAGAGAGCTGGACTGGAAGAACAACCGGGACTAGAACCCGGTGCTCATATGGGATGCTGGCACCGCAGGCAGAGGATTAACGTAGTGTGTCATGGTGCCGGCCCCTCTATATGGTTTTGATATCTACTTCAGCACTGCAGAAGACAAGAAGTCCAAAAATGTCATAATTTTCTTTGTTCAAATCTAACACTGGTGAGTTCTTCTGCTCTCTAGTTCTGCCCATAGTTTAAAAACAGGCCCACAGCGTCATGGCTCTCTATGTTAATCCTCCACCTGCGGCGCCAGCATCCAATATGGGCCCCAGTTCTCCTCTTCCAGCCCAGATCTCTGCTGTGGCCTCTGGGAAAGCAGTGGAGGATGGCCCAAGTGCTTGGGCCCCTTCACCCACCTGGAAGACCAGGAGGAAGCAACTGGCTCCTGGCTTCGTATTGGCGCAGCTCCGGCCATTGCGGCTGTCTGAGGAGTGAACCAGCGGATGGAAGACCTCTCTCTCTGTCTCTCCCTCTCACTGTCTGTAACTCTACCTGTCAAATAAATAAACAAAAAATCTTTTAAAAAACCAGGCCCAAACCACATAAATGAATAATTTCAACGCAGCTGCAAAATGCTCAGTAACAATAATCTTAGAGGTGGAATAACATGCACACAGAATAGTGCCATCAGCACCAGGACATGCACTGGCACTCAGATGGTTTGTTGGTGCTGCAGGCAGAAGCCCAGCCCACTACACCACAGCGCCACAGTGAAATACCACTGGGAAAGTGAAATTCTATTTAGGATCTGTTACTCTCCAGGGATTTTTCCATCAGTCACTTCCTAAGTTCTACGCATGTACGAGTTAAAGAAGACCCAGAATGCCAATACTAACAAAAAGAGAAGATTTTGTTTTATCAGGGTTGGATATTTCCAGTCTTGAAATACGATGACAGAAATTTGGATTATAATTTCAGAAGAAAAGGGGTATATGCTCTCCTGCTTACTTCTACTCGTGCAAAGATGGATAAGAGAGGAAAGGGGACGAGAACTTGTTCCACAGGAACTCAGCCAATGCCAGGCAGACATTTCAGTGTTTGAGAGTCTTCCTTCCGAGACTCAATCTGCTGCAATAGCAGAAAGTAAATATCCCCTTTCATTGCGAGAGTTCCTCTCTTTCCCTGGGAGACTCCAAATCTGGGAGAATTTCTTTCCTTTTGTTACCCACCTGCACATACGACATGTCTGAAATATTGTTTAGCTTTCTTTCCCAGGGCATATCACAGCTCTCTCTTACAGTAAGGCCCATCTTTTTTCATGTTTGGGGTTTGAGTTCTATTTTGGGACCACAGAGTACAATCCTAAACACTGGACTCTGAATCTCGTTCCCAGAAAGAGGATAAATCCTTCACAGGGAACTCAGTGTATAAATGAGTACATACTTCAATAAGAGTAAAACAGCTTGATCTTTCTTGTCCACAGAGAGAATCCTTGATTATGTAACTAACATAAGTAAGATGTGATAGCCATTCTACACAGAAACTTAGGAAAACCATATGACAAAACTATCCACCTTGTGTTAACCCAGGCTGAATGTAGAATAGTAACAGATTTAGAGGCATCTTCCACTTGGTCCAAAGGCATTTACTTTTCCATGACTGACTATATGGAGCTATACTGGGTGCTGCATAGAACAAATGAAATGGTGACATCTCTCTAACCTGCTGTCTCCTCTCTCCCTTCCTTGCTTTAATCCTTCATTCCTATCTCTCTTGCGTGTGTACCTTCTCTTCACTATTTATTTCACACTGGTAGCAGACTGGTGAACAGAAGCTATATGTTAACTTTAATGCTAGAACAATCTCTATTTAGGATTCCCTTTGGGAGCTTACATTTCCTTTGGTAGATTTATAGAGCCTTTAACATACAAGACTTTAGATGGATGAGATTCTTCAATCTTTCTTGTTGATGGAAGTTATACTCGTTTAATTTAGGTAAGTAGTTTATATATTTTAGAAGTTTTCTATTATCATTTTAATTTTATTAATGATGAAAACTGCTTAAGGCTCAAAATCACCCATGTAGTAAGATGTAGATCTGGAATCCAAATCCAATTCTGACGCTAAAGCCCTGTTTTATAACCATGCAGACATAGCAAATGATACATGTGGCTCTGCTTGCTTCATTTTCCTGAGCCC